ACAAAGAAATAGATGTATCATCTTTTAAACTGGACAATAGATGGCTTTGTGTCTGCCTGCATCTATAGAGCTGCTTATTATTTAAAACACTTGAATGATTATTTGCTGTCAGGGTTATGGAACAAATGCCAGATGGCCAATGCAACACCTCGTTGGGAAAAGGCTAAAATGTTTCAAGCAACACAGAAAAAGAAGAAAACAAAACAAGCTGTAGGCTACTAAAATGCCATTTATTGCCTTTGAAGTAACCCCTGGTCCATTAGCCCCACACAAAAATAACATTTTTTTTTGTTTTGTTAGGCTTTTGAGTAGTAAAGTTAAAATTTATTTAAATAAGATTGTTTCCAGCATCATCACCAGGTTTTGATTAACAAGAAGGTTACAGTAGCTCGGGCCATCCTCTGGGGTCCAACCTGACCTGCCTGTTTCCCTGAACAGTCCCTCCCCACATGGAAGCTATCAGTTGTTCAGCTGAAATATACCACACATCTGTTAGAGAAATGATCCCTGGTTCAAATAGCCAAGAGCTGAATCTTTGTGATTTGTGACAGTAAAAAACAAAACCTCACAATTAAGACAACTGCTGCCTCACAGATCAAGGTCAGGTGGATGCTGGAAGACCTGCTATGTGGCTTTGCTGTACGATCCACGCATCTTCCTGGTAGTGCCAGAGGAGTAACATGAAGGTTGAGACAAATAATACTGTCATTATTTTTCAAATAGAAATAGAAGCTCTAAGAAACATTAGCATCTGGAGTAATGCCATGTCACAAAGCCTATGTTCCTAATAATCTTGTGACTTTATTCCCAGCATGGTGCCTGAGAAACGAGGGTGTGAGCTCCGTCCTTCTAGGATCTTCCAACCCAGAGCAGCTGATAGAGAACCTTGGAGCCATACAGGCAAGTGCAGGTGGTGGCGGGAACTCAACAGAGGCAGGGGGTTAGCTGCTCTTCAGCTCCATGTAGGGTAACCAGCATACCTCAAGATCAGCACCCTCCTCTTACACAGTTCCAATACTTTGTAATTTGTTTCAGATATCTTCCAGTTCTAGGTATGCACATTAATTAGGCAAACCTGTGGTGCATCACCATGACTTACCACCACTTGTGGTAGTCATAGCCCTTTCCAGCAACAAAAGGGTGGCTTCAGCAGATCTAAGGTATCTGAAAAAACAAGACACACTGCTAGATTCTGTGCTAAGCCTTCCACAGGGCACATGTCACTTGAACCCACCTTAATTATTCTCTGTTGCTTTTAGCAATAAGAGCTTCCTCTGATGTTCCAGCTACCAGCTTGCTTTCTGCTGCAACTGAGCGATATTCTATATATGAAGTTTAGGAGCACTTCTGTGATTCTCTCACTGGGTAAAGACACTACAGTTGTTTTTCCTTTAAGGGAGAACAGTATTAGAAGAATGTTTAATATCTGTCACACAAGGCCCCAGAGGAAATGTTATTTGATAAAATCTAGATTTAAATTTGGAAAAACCTTTAATGGAAGCTTGATTAAAGATGGGTTTTCTTCTATCCCTAGGTCCTTCCAAAAATGACATCCCATATTGTAAATGAAATAGATAATATTCTGGGAAATAAGCCCTACAGCAAGAAGGACTACAGATCATAATGTGATGCATGAATTACCTGGACTGCATGGTTTTAGCAGTGCTCTGTACGGAAGTACAGCCCCGAATTAATATCCGGTCATGAGAATCATTCAGCAGCTTGCTGCTCAGTGTCTACTGTCACTGGATCCTTCGAGATGTGTGCTGTTGCTACTAACCTGCAATGAAATTTAAAAGCACAGTTGATCTTTCTTCTAACCAAGAATAATACTGTATTTTCTTACCTTTGACCGAATTCATTAATTTTTACTTTACTCTTGGCACCTCATGCTTGTGCTGTGAAAAACACTTGTAAAGCAAAAAATAATTTATAACCTTCAGGTACTTGGTAATTAACGAAGGATGTACAGATCTATTTTTCAATGAAGAAAAGCCAGATACAATTTAAGGTTTTAATAAAACCACATTTGGGATATCTCAACTATAAAGTTTATTCAGGTTAACAGACAGAAAGGGCAAGTTCAGATTTTCAGTTTTCTTTTTGATGCTGAATATATGCTTTAGATTTCATTTGTAGTTGAATAAAGGATGTAAGAATTAGCTAGAAATTAGATAGCTCAACTCCTAACTATACAATTGTTTCAGCTGTGGAGTGCTCCTGGGAAGTATTTCTGAGTACAAGCCAGAAGAGCACAGTTAGAAAAACCCAAATACGCATGTCAGGTTAATAAAAACAATGCCTATTTGCAAAATTCTAATTCTACATGAACCTTAAACTAAGAAAGCCATGATAAAATATTGGGTTTTGCATCTACAGACATCTGCCTCTACTTCTGCCTGCTTGTAGACAGAGCTATTGCAAATTTCAATATTTATGAGCTTTTATGGATATAGATACTTATAAATATATGTAATATATAGCTGCTGAAAAATGCCAGAAAATAATCAGGTACATACTGTGGTGGAAGGCTATATTTGCTTTAACTTGTTCTGGAATCGGGCATAAGTAAATGCATAGTATTTTTAAGTCAAGTTTTAAACAGGTATTTTTTGTGACCATTTCATACCTCTACAGGAGTTGAAAGCAAGCATTTATGTTTTAATTTGCACATCTTCAGAATCACGTCATCTTTTACCATGAGTTTGCTTTGTAAAATGCACTGATTTCAGTAAGTATTTCTCACTTGTATTGAACTGTGTACTTTGGGTGCATACTTCCTTGGGGTTACAGTTACGTACAGTATTTGTAGAACCCTTTACTCTAGTTCCCTGAACTAGAGGGTATCTGCAGAGTGTGTGCAGTGTTCAGGTGGGCCATGTAAACAGATACTAATACTTGAGTTGTCTTCTCCCATATTTAATCCAATGAGCTATGGTATGTGTAAATGAACTTGGCTGCTGTATATCCAGAAATGCAGTCTGACTTTGACTTCTGCTTGGACACAATAAAAACATTTTCTGCATCTAATTCTATACTTGGTAACCTCTTACTGAGACTGATTTTGAAACGGCACTGGTTTATGTTGAAAATGGATACCTGTTGTTCCACTGGGACATGATGATGTTCAGCTGTACCCAGGACACGCAAGTGGGTACAGCTGGGGAGTGAAGGGCTGGGCTGGATGCACACCTTGGAGAAGGTACTTATAGAAGTCTCATAAGGCAGGTATCTGTTGCATGTAACATTTTGGCCTGAAATAAGCACAATGTGAGCACTCTCCCAACAGCTCTGAAGCCCACGGTGGTTCAGTCACCAGCCTCTCCAAAATTACATTGGCTGTGGTGGAGGCTGCCACTAACACTTTTCTTGTGTCCCGGGTCTGACTGTTTCACTGCCCTGAGCCATAGCCCCTAATGTTGCAGTATTAGCTGTGATAATTAACTACTTAACTATTTTTAAATTTGCTCCATGAGCAGCATAAAGGCTTTTACCATTATATAGTTAACAGCTTAATTTTTCATAATTTCATAATTATTTTGCCAGTAGCAGACCTTTTCTTACTTCTCAAGGTACAATTTGATGTCCTCTCTTCCTCTTCTCAGATACATGGGAATCCAACAACATATTAAAAATACTAATTCCAAACTTCTTTTTTTTTTTAATTGAAAAGGTGATGCCATTGTCCCTTACTTAGAGCAAAAGCTTAAGTCAGCTTGCCCAATGCTCTGAGGGCAATGGGATGCCAAGCAGCAGCCTGCCTTTATGGTACCATTCAGAAACTGGGTGCATCTGGTAGCAGTGACTGCAAGAAGAAAAAGCCATGGCTATCATTCCCCCCAAAAAACCCAAAAGCAAACAAAAATCCATGTAACCAAAACACCCCAAAACTTTTCTGTGAAGTCCATGGAAAATACTAGCCTTGCTGTAGAAAACAACCCACCCAACCCATGCACCTGCTTTTGTTTCAGGCTGTCAATGCTGAAATTTGTTTTATATGTGCTAAATACTTAAAATACATATAATTTATACCCTTTATGATAAGTGTTTACTATCCTTTATAATATGTGAAGATCCATGTATTTTCAGGGAAAACAGTCCAGTCCATTTCAAGTGTTAAATGACCAGCCAGAAAAGTAATTCAATGGCATCTCTAACGTACAATAAAACCACTGGAATTTTCATGATGTCAACACATGAATAGTACTATCTTTACTGGGAAGCAAAGTAAAAGCAGGGGATAGTTAAGACTGAAGACCCCCCCATCCAACCCTGCCATCTAAACGATGCTGAGAAGTACTGGAACAGTCAGCAGGTACTGGGTCATCTGGCAACAGTTTTATGAGACTGTTCTGGTTGCTTTTGTCAGAAATAGTGACATTAGAAACCCAACATACTCTAAGGCAAGCCAGATACACTGTCTCCTGAACTTCATAATCTTCATTTTACTCTATTTCATGTAAGTACAGATCTTATTGAAGATTAGCAAAGTAATTGTTAACAGTAAATCTGATTATAAGCTTGCTTTCTTCCCTGTTTAGGATTCAAAGTCTCTAATGGCAATATCTGTAACTTCTAAAATAGAATTCTATTAATAGTAGTAGAGTTTAGCATTTAACTTACAGCTGCTTCACCGACAGCATGAAAAAAAGGAAAAGGATTGTCTGACAAACCCATTGTAAAAAGCCAGCTAAAGCATTTTTGTTAAGCTGTGCCAGGAAAACTGGCAGGCTTTTCAATTTATTTACTATTTAAAAGCTAAAGAAAAACCACCAAAAAACCCCAAACAAAAAGAACACTTCAAAAACATTTTTCTAGGAGGTTTAGGGTTTGTTCTGACTCCCAAGTTACTCAAAAATGAGTATTTCCAACGAATGCAGTACATATGCTAGCTTGTAGAAGACGCCTCCCTTCTGGAAGCAGAAAGAGCTTAGAAACCTACACACGCTGCTTGCCCCTGAAAATACCCCCCCCCCCCAAAAAAAAAAAAAGGGAAATACAAGGAATTAAATGACAAAAAAAAGTCTTTATTAAAAATTTTCAAGTTACAATGATAAATGGTGGATTGTCACTTTTTATGATCAGTGAGTTTGCTCTTACACCACTCACCAGGCTTACATGGAATTGTGTTACAGGTTTGAAGTACAACTGTTTTTGCTACAGTGTACCGGCCTGCTACAGTGTACCACTCTATAGTACCTTCACACCTATGCAGTGCTTCAGAAAGGTTCATTGTGGTAACTGCTTGCACACCACTTCCTTCCATTGCTAAGTAAGAAGAAATTATTAATTTGGTTATTGAATAATACCATGTAAACATACCAAGAGTAAATACAGTTTAATCATTTTGGATTCAAACCCTCCCTACTATGCTCTCAAGCAGTCACACTATTAGAAAAATGTATTTCTATTCCACCCCTTAAACTTTTGTATGGCAGCTGAACCCTCTAACAGAAATAAATTGCTGTAGGTTTTTTTTTTTGACTACTTGGATCCTGTAGAGAGCAGAGCAATCAGTCCAGATGAAGCACTTATAGAAAGAATATAGTTTCTGTAGAGAAAAGGTTAAGGATATATACATATGTAGCTATACCACCTCTTAAATGTAGAAAATTTAGAAGCTTTACGAAAAACAAGGAATTGAAATGAACTGCACGTATCAAGAGAGCAATCTCACAACTCACATCATAAATATAGCTGATAATGACAACACATAGGACTACAGTTGTTTCAAGCATGGTAATAAAGGATACACAGTGGGGTTGAAGTTCTTCAGCACAAAAAATGAAGCGATGATAACCAAGACCAGAAAGAGAGTATTGTTGTAAAAGATAGAAAAAGTTGTTGCTTCATAGTCTGCAACTTCATTTTTCTTCCACAGAATTCTAGGAAGAAGTAGAGACATTATTTCAAATGTATTTAAATCAATGCATATCCTGGCACACCCACCATTATGAAGCAATTAACACCCAGAGGATTGTAAACCACATACCGTTGCTTTTGTCATAGCCAGCTTCTTGAAGACAGAGCACAGCAAGAACTACCAGTCAACTCATTAGACAAAAAACCCTTCTTATAACACACACTTGTACACTCAAATGACTTACACTTGTTTTCCTACCAGGGACATCAAAACTAGCCCCTCAGAAATAACATTTGTTGTGAGCCTGAATCTGTTAAGATGTTACCAGCATGCCCGGCAATTAGTAGGGAAGATAAGGGTTTTTACTCCAAAGACCTAATGGCTCATTAACTCACATGTTGTACAGTCTTAATGGGCATCTATGCTAATAGCAAGTGCTTCCTGATGCACTCATCAGGCATGTGTGTGGATTTCCATTGGTATGAGCTATTCAGCTGGAAATCCACACACCAACACATGCCAGGTATAACCATGAGAGTAACAAATACCAGTAATTAGTGGTGCAGTCTAGCAGTATATGGAAATGCTAGTCTGAAGTAACTTGCATGCCACTCCTGTGGCATCACACCAGCCTGTCCTCAAGGAAAGGAGCTTTTCTTATTTCCGAAGACAGTGGTGATGCTTACTCTTCACAGAGTTATCATAAGGCATGTACAATAAGGTGTTTTGCTTTGCAGCTCAAGGACTGAGAGGTTGCCCTACAGGACCTTAATGATAAAGGTTTCAATGTGTGAGAGCTTACATTGCTAATTCACCTTGAAAAGGCTTTACAGATGAACAAAGAGCTGACGGTACAGCTTCTACTTATCAGAATATAGAAAAAAAACCCAATAATGCATGGCCCAGTACCTCTCATTGCCTTAAAGATGGTAGGCAGTATTACAACAATGGAGAGGAACAAACAGGATTACTCTTGTTTGTTCAGAACAAAGAGGATTACCTTTCATCCTTCTCCTTACGAGACATCTTCCTATTGTCTGCTTCAGACAGCTTGCGAGTAACTTCTTTGGAAACAGCATCTTCTCTTTTCTGTGCCACTCTGTAAGCAACATCATTTATGTTAAGAGTTGAAAAAAAGAAAACCAATCCCCAACCAACAAAAATCTGAATAAAACAACTCTGGGATTACAGGAAGTTGCATTTACAGTGACAAATAAAACTTAGCTAAGACACTGATCAGTTTTTCCTAAGAAGCAAAGTAGCTTTGCTTGTTTCGTTGTGCTCTTAACTGACAAGAATAGTCTATTTCATAGTAAACGAGAAAGGTAACAGAAAACAACTAAGAGAGACTTCTGTCTAAAACAGTTTCTGGACTAACATTTCAGACATTCTAATTCGTAAAAGATGTTCCAAAGGCTGGTTTTGTTAAATCAGTTAATAAGTTCTACTTCAAACAGCCACCAAACTTACTTGTGTTTGAGAACAAACTTGACATTCTTGTATGCAAAAGCTACTAGATAGGTACTGATGAGGGTCATTACACTATACAGGACTGCAGACTGAACAAGATCCATATGCCATATCCTCCAATACAGCCCTTTAAAAAACAGGGGGGAAAAAAAGACATTTTGAGTGGTTTCTCTCTCCAAGACAAATACCACAAGAGTTCTACACAGGTTACTAAGCTCTGCAATTCAGCACTGGCTTTGCAACATCAGCCGGGGGGCTTTCAAACTGCATTATAAATACTTTGGAATAAAGAAGTCTGCTTTGCTTGTGGCTGGAAGGGGCTTTATGAGACCACATCACACGCAGCTGAGAAGCAGCCCAGCACAGCCAGACTGACACGTCAGTGTGCGACCGGTAGCTCGTCCATCTTTACCCACCACAGAGCCATCACCCTGCCCGCTGTTCCAAATGACACCGGCTTCCAAACTGGATCTAACACAGCACAGAGACAACCAAAATAATCCCAACTGAGCCCGGCTCAAAGCGGCGAGTCCCAGCACCCCGGGGACCCCAGACCGCAGTTACCAGCGGTCCGGGAACCCAAGGCAGGCTGCGAGGAGGCCCTACTCCCCCTCCAGTCCTGCCGCTCGCCCCTTCCCAAGGCCTGCCGCCCCCTAACCCGCGACAGCGCAATCCTGCCACTTACAGATGGGGATGGCCGACACGATGAAGGCATTGCCGAAGAAGAGCGCGGAGGACTTGGCAGAGAGATTACGGCTGAAGTCCTGCAGGAGCAGGTCCTCCTCGGACTGCTGCCGCCCGCCTGGGCCGCCCTTGGGAGCCATGGCGTGGAGCAGGACCGAGACAGTCAGCGCTCAGCGACTGCGTCCGGGTCAGACCGCCAGCGGGGCGAGGGCGGGCCTGTTCCACAGTACTTCCGGGGCTAGGGAGGTTCCACCTCTCTCGGGAGGCTGTTAAGACTGTTATTTGCCTGCCCACTGTGGGTGGGGGGAAGTCCCAACTCCGGCAGCCCCGATGCTGTGCCCCGGAGCCTGCCCGCTCCCCGCGGCGGGGCTGCCCCGAGCTGCCGGCCGGCGCCGCGGCATGGCGCGTTGGAGGCCGCCGGCCTGTGGGAGCGCGGGTCCTGGAGGTTGAGGCAAGTGAGTACTGGGGGACGCCGGAGGACGCGATCCCTCCGGGGCTGCGACTGAACCTGTATCGGTTTGCCGCGGGGAAGGAGCGAAAGCCCCCCCGGGAATCGGCTCGTCCCCCGTATGCCCTTATTCTCCGTAAGAACTCCAGCTCCCAGAGAGCTGGTGCCGTGTGTTTATGTGCTTCTTTTCCAACATATTCAGGTCTAGTCGGACTTCTGCAAAGCATTTGTGTGTCATTTTAACTCCTTGAAGTGTTCCCTAATCTCCCTCACGCACACCAGTTTGGGAAGTCACAGAAGGGGATCTGTTCTAAACGGTCCATCTACAGTCAGTCATAAAAGCCTGTAGGAGCCCACAGAAATTTCGGCTATTAACAGTAGCATCTCGCGTGAAAGTGTGAAGGGCCGGCCGATGTGATACAGCTTTTGGGATGTGGCTCTGATGGCCTGGGGTGACTGTAGTCCTCCTTATCTCCTGCAACAGCGCTTTTTCCTTAATATTTGGAACGTCTGTGAGACAGCTTTATTTACCAGAGTGTGTATCTTTTTAAAATTTAATGAAAGGAATTCTTCCACGTATTTCCCCCAGTTGCTAATCTTTGCTTGCAGGAAAAGATATGAAGTGCACACAATGAGGGAATGCTAGCTGGAAATGAAGTTAAATTTATATAATGAAAAATCATAATTCATTCTGATGGAGTTCTATGAAACACTTACATGTAGTACGACTCTGCTTTTTAACCACTTAGCAAATTTCCAACGCCAAACTGGGACTGGATTTTCAGGATTCAAAGTGAACTGAATGTTGTGTGCTAGCAGAATGGTATTGCTAATGTATTATCTACAGACAACTATAGGAGGTACCCTTCAGCTGGTAAGACCTTCTTTCTTGGCTTGGAAATGCCTCTTCATTCTCAAGCTGGGTTAGCGGCACATTAGCTGATCAGATGGACTGCAGAAGTTCTGAGTATCACAGAAACATCTGCTTGTGCCCAGCAGATGCATGTGTGTGCTTTGCTGGATTTGCAAGGGTCCCTGACTTTCACTGATCCATTTTTTATGAGTATCTGTTATGTGAAACATGTGGATACTTCTTCCTTCTCATGTCTCTCTTCCTTACTCCCTTCATCTCTGGGTTATAGTAACCTGTTCAGAAATAGCTTCAGCAGTTCCTGGCTTCCACTGGTGGGGAATGCTGTTTGCCCGTTAGATGGCATTGTGAAATCTGTGCTGAGGATCATACTCCAAAAAGAGTGGAAACCAGTGTTGTTTTTTTGTAAACCACATTAAAACTAAATGCATGGTAGGTAACATCACTGCTCAATGTTACCAGTCATACGAGTTTTCTTATTAAAGAACATTGTTAAGAGTCATACAAAATAGTTGGAAACTGGGGGAAAGATTAAGATTGTTTCAAAATTCAGATGTAATCACTGACACTGTTCTTGCACAGGTTTATTCCTTCTGCTCACCTGGTGAGTTTGTTTTCTGTTGTGGAATGTAATGAAGTCTAAGTTTCTGTTCTTGGTTTGGGTTTACGTGGGAAGGGTGCTGTTGTTTTGGAACAAAATCTGCCTGGTGACCATCTGTCTCCATTAAGATGAAGTATGACATTGTTTTAGGCAGTGCAGTGATGAAAGATTTTATTGAAAAAAAAACAAATGGATACTTTGTTTGTTTAAAAAAAACCTGGCACTGGCAAACTCTAAGCAGAACTCCGCATACAACAAACCTGTGACTGGAGCTTCACACTCACTCTGTGTATGCCCTAGTGGCTTCCATAACAGTAAATTGGACAACCAATTTCTGTCAGAATAATAGAAGTTTTTGCTTAAGTGCCTAAATTTGCATTGTCCTGTCTGAATCCTCATTCAGAAACTGCTGGGAACATAAGGCATCAAAATCAGAGGAACAACAGCTCAATGACCCAAAAGCAAAAGTTCTGATAATAGAAATAGTAATGCCATTATCTTTGTAACTTAGGAAGTATGTTCCTTAACAATTTTTTCTTTTTTCTAAAACACAGAAACAGTACTAAATATTCTGTAAACATATGGATTATCTTTACTGCTCTTACTTTTTCTCTAAATCTCTAAGCTGGACCAAATCTTAAAATAAGGGCAGTGTCATTTCCCAGCAGGATTTGTTTTGTCTATTATTGTTGCCACTTACCAGTGTGAAGTATAGACTCCAAAATATGTTTGCATTGGATTGGAAGGTGGACTCTCCTAGGCAGGTTATTAAATAAGTCTGCTCTTTAGAAGAATTTTATTTGTCATTTTTCATGCCGGTATGAGCCTTAATGTCCCAACATCTAAGAATGGTTTTCATAAATATGGCTATCGTACAAAAAAACAAGACAGCCCCTCAGTGAGTCCATGACTTATTACTAGGGGTTTTTTTTTCAGTTGGTTAATTTATGCCATCTCTTCCTCTAGGTGTTGAAATCCTGAAAGAATCCCTAATACGAAGAAGGGGAAGTTCCTGCAAGACAGCCCAGACAGGGGAAAAGCCTCAGGTGGGTCAAGAACACAAGAAGAAAGCTGTTGTGGTGGCTCTTCCCGTTACCACAACAGTGCTGGGAATAGGTGCCCTGAGGCAGATGAGCCATGAGCCTTTATAGCTGTAGTAGCATAAGCAATACCATGATACAGAGTTGTTCTGACCAGATAATGGTTCCTTTTCTCATGTGTGTCTCCAGTGGGTCAGTGTGGGAATATCTGGGATGAAACTGGTGTCTGGATTGTGTGTGGGGTGGGAGGAGTTGGCTGTTTTGTTAGTGGATGCCTGAGGTTGTGTAGCTGTACTCATTTAGCCAATAGTCTTGAGCATCCTGGTTATTATTGGTCATTGGTTAGCAGCTTTCTAAACATGTGTTTATTTCTCTCCCTCTTTTTATTGATGTGTTCCATCAAATTACTATATTACAGAATCTTGTGTAGCAGTTCTTTCAAGCTGCATTTGCTATATTTTTTGACATTGCATAGCGACCTTTCTGGCAGACTCTGTTCAGGCTAGCCTAGCTATGCCTATCTAAAGGCTTGGGAACTCGCCCACAGAAATTGTTTCTGCGAGTTAAGACTTCTCTACTGCATTGAAAATTCTGTATCACTCTGAGCTGCAGTTCTTTCTTAGCATAGCTCTGCTTGCAAAACCTGTGGAAAAAAACTCCTGACATCAATACATTATGTGTGAACAGACCAAACACGACCATTTTTGCTGTCACCCAAAGTTAATATTAGGATATCCCACTATTTTTTATGCCTAAGTGAATTGTTCACTTGTTAGTTAGCTGACATCTTGTTTGACAAAAGAATTCTTAAAAACTCTCAGACAGAAATGCATCTTTTTCAGGGTAGTGATTACTATCACATTGCAACAGCAACAGTTAGTTGTTATCAAGAAGAAATACTGACTGTCAAGAATACTGAGTCCCACATAAAATAATATTTGTGATTAAAATCCATGCAATGGCAGTAGTGATTATAGCTGATCTCTGTGTTATACAGTTTATGTTTGTAAAAGTAACATAGAACATAGTGTGCTGTGTGGAATTACCTCTGTAACAAAAAAATGTTCTCAACATGGGCTTTGACACACCCTCTCTGTACTTTGCTTTTATAACACTAGTTTGTCAGAGTAAATCTTCGGAGTTACACTTAACATATACATGATATTTTACAATTGTTTATTTCAGATGGTTATACAAAGTAAGGCAGCAGTAAGTTCAGCTGTCTTTCAGAAAAGGAGAGTCTCATTTCTCTGGCGTTGTCTCCCCATCCTTGCACGTGTTTTTTTCAGTAGTGCCAGTGATGTATCTGTTGTACTTGGGCGTGTGTATGTTCTCTTTTTAAGTTAATCTGAAAAAGATATTGTGCCTTTGGCTTCGTGTTAATGTTTACCCTGAATACGATGTTTTACTGTAGAGCTGAAGCATCTGTGCAGTCTCTTGCATCTCTTTCAGTTCATTATCTACATGCCACAGTACTGCATGCATTTTAGTTTAAATCATACAACAGCCAGAGGAATGATCCCATTCATATGAAAATAACTTTTTATTTTCCTTATGCAACTAAATTGTAAACCTATATCTAAAGCTAAAGATTGACTTGGCTGACCCTTGCAGCCATTAATTCTTGCTGCTTACTTACCAACCATTGTGGTTTTGTGTACTTCTCTGAAAGGGTTTGGTTTTTTTAAACACAAACCAATATCATTTACTTTCGGTAACCATTTCACTGTCAAGTTCCCTGCAGGTGATCACTTCCTTTTGCCCTTATTTAATTGTTCTAGCTGAACCATTTCATTTCACATAAGATACCTGTCTACTTTGTTGTTTTAACTTAAGTAATTCACTGAAATCGAGAACACTTCCTAGTAGTGCAGATACAGACTAAAAAAATTGTGACTAAGACTTAATCTTGAAGCTGTCTGTTGCAATTCTCTGTGGAAATTGTGTGTTCTCCTCATTCTCACTATAAGAAAGCTGGACAGATTTTCTTCTGTATTTCCCCTAACATCTCTCCCTTCCCCGTCCCCACCTTGTTAGTTAGGAAGGAAATCCCATAGCTTTGAGAACTGCTAGGTTTTTACATTCACATCTAAATCTAAATTCAGGCTAACTTTCTTAATAGCATTTGTTCTAGAGTCAGTGGACTAAACTATGTCCAGGAATTAAATTAAAGCAGAGCAAAAGCTTCGCTATAGTTAAGACTGATGTTGCAGTTTCCCCCCCCCCCCCCCCTTTGTTCAGAATTGAACTCTTC